ACCTCTCTGTGCCTCAGTGCCTCTGTGGGCAAAACAGGACTGACGGTAACAGAAAGTATTTCCTCGGGCAAATTCAATAAAGAAAGTCTTGGAAAGAGCCCAGGGCCGGGGGAAGCCCTCAGCCCATGACTGCAGGGACAGCCCTGTGCCCTGGCTTTCGGCCAACCAGGAAGGGCTGGCCCTGCACAGCCGCCAATCCCCAGTCACCATGGTGATCTCAGTGCCATGGCCCGAGGAAGAGCCATCGCCGTTCTGTCCCCCAATGCTGCGGGTTTGTCCCCAACACATTCCTGGCCTGCTCTTCCTCCTGGTTTCCTGGGGACCCCCTTCCTGCAGGACCAACTTGCGTGGCCGTGCCTCGGGGTTTCTGCCCAGAGCGGAACCCTGCGTTCCCAGGCATCCTGACGTCATGGCCCCATTGCTGGGGACTCTGGCTGGCTCGCTCCCTCCCCTACTGGGACCTTCACTTCCACAGCTGCGGTGTGGCCGGGACTCCAGGCCGGCACAGGGCCCGTGAGCACACAGGACAGCCGGGAGGGGCTGCTGCAGCTTGAACACACCGCAGGCTTCGTGTGGCACCGTTCGGGGGGTTAAAAAACCCCCCAGTCTCGCGGGGCTGTAAGCAGAGTGGCAGCCTGGCTGGCCTCCGAGCTCAGCCAGGGCTGCCGGGGCTGTGGACCCAGATTTCCCGCCCGCGGGGCCACGCCTGGCTGCCGGGGCTCCTTGAGTCTCGCGACAGGTGCTCCAGTCCTGAGCCCTGGCATCTCCCTGGCGTCTCCCTTGGCTGCTTCTCTCCCCTCACTCCGTCACTGACTGTCCTGTGGGTCTCTGCTCTAGGGCTGCACAGGTAACCCCAGCTTATCGCCCTGTTTGAAAGTCTGTGACCTTTGTTCTCTCAGCAAAGTCCTGTTGGCCCTGTGATGCAACATACATGCGTACTTTCAAATGCTCGTGGGAAAACCTTATTAGAATATGAGTCCAGGGTGGGCACGGGGTGCAGCATCATCAGATGTCACTTGGGTCGCCCACATCCCGTCTTGGAGCGCCTGGCTTGAGTCCTGCCTCCTCCTCTTCCTGTCCAGGTTCCTGATGATGTGTCTGCGAGGCAGTGGAAGATGACCCAAGTACTTGGACCGCTGCCACCCACCTGGGAGACCAGGGTGGAGTTCCAGGCTCCTGGCTTCAGCCTGGCCCAGCCCTGGCTGTCGTGGGCTTTTAGGGAGTGAACCAGCGGATAGAACATCTTGCACTATCTTTCTGCCTTTCAAAAGGAACAAAAATAGTACATTTATTCGGGTACAACATTTTTTGATGCAAAAATATATTTTCACAATACCTAGAAGATGCATGTTTTTTTTTTTTTAATTTTTATTTATTTGGAACACGGAGTTACAAAGAGAGGTAGAGACACACAGAGAAAGAGAGATCTTCCATCTGCTGGTTCATTCCTCAAATGGCCACAATGGCCAGGGCTGGGCCAGGGCAGAGCCAGAGGCCAGAAGCTTCATCTGGGTCTCCCAAGTGGCTGCAGGAGCCCAAACACTTGAGCCGTCACCTGCTGCCTCCCGGAGTGGCAGGGCTGGGTCGGAAGCAGAGGCACTCGGATAGGGGTGTGGGCATCTCGATGACATTGTGACCAGGTGCCCCCCCGCCGCCACCAGCCCCCGGAACGTTTTACAGCCTCGCACTCACAGTCCTAGGACTCAGGACTCACAGTCCTAGGACGCGTGCACGTCTCCGCGGAACGTTCTATCTGCCTCTAATGCTTGTTCAGCTTTTCTCAGGGTGTGGCTCTGTGCTGAGCCCTGGGCTACTCGGAGAACCTTCCAGGCTTAGACCCTTCCTGCTGAGCTCAGAGACCTGCAGAGCAAGGATCATGGCTTACAACAAACACATGTGAAGAGCCTGGGACACGTGCAGGCCGCAGGCCACGGGGCTCAAGGTGTGAGTCAAGCCACTCCCACCGGGAGAGGTTCGCCCTGGGAGTCAGAGGGTTCTCCCAGCAACAAAGAGCAGGGCAGGGCAGGAACTGGGCCTGGGTCCAGGATTCCTGGGCAGGGACTGGGCTCGCCGAAACCTAACAGGACCGCCCGGGTGAGGTTCCCCAGAGAGCCCAGGTGGGTGGGCCCTTTTCTGGTTCTGGTTTCCGGGCCGCTCTGGGAGTCCCCAGAGTAACTGCCCCACAAAGCAGCAAGAGGGGATGATTCCTGGAAGCCCCTGCCTTGGGGCCTGGCTGGCCAGCTCTAAATCAGAGCAGCCACTCCCCCTAGGAGTCTGCTCTCAGCTCCGCCTGCCAGCCTGCGTGGGAGGAGGGTGAATGACGTCCATTGAGCACCAGCTGTTTGCAGGTGCATTACTAAGCACCGTGCACCTGTCAACTCCATTCACCCTGACAGCAGTCCCGGGAGGGAGGTGTGTGAATCATCCCCATGTCCGTGTCCTGCTCGCTGGTGCGTATGAGCTCATGTGCAGCCCGTGTGTGTGTGCCGCATGTGTATGTGCATGTGTGTGTGTGGGTGCGTGTGCCTGCATGTGTGTAATGAATCTTGGAGCGTCTTCCCACTCGGTACAGAGAAATTGTCTTCTTAGGCATGATCTGTTCCAACATCCTTACCAGAAGGTAACAATTGAAAATGCAAATTAAATACAAATTAAAAAATTATAGCCCTTTTCTTACTTTCAAACACTTGTACTTTTTTGCTCTGTCCCTTTAAGATCAATATGCACCTTTTTAAAAATGGAGGCCCTTGTCCCTTTTACCTCCCAGGAGTGTTTACCCAGGGAGCTACCTCTCTAGAATGTCAACATGGAGGAAGAGAGCTCCCGCAGCCGAGCCCCCAGGGGACCAGGTGTGGGACCGCAGGGAGGGGCTCAGGTGCCCAGGGTCTCCAGTTCTAGGATAGGAATCTATGCTTCCAGTGCATAAAGGGCAGCCATGAGCTAAGGACAGCCTCTCCGTGCCCAGGTGAGCACAGTTGCAGCCTGCGAACACGCGTGTACCGGGTCGCACCTGCCTGGCCGCACACGGACACGAATCCCCTTGACTTTCTGGGATGCTCACGGCAGTCTGGTTTAATGAGTCTTCAATGACAAAACTGTTTTCTCTTTTACTTTGGTGGAGGTTTTTACTTTTGTCCTGCAAACCCTTCAAATGTATCTAAGAGGCCACTGCGAGGGCTGGGACAGTAGCCTGGGTGTTGAGCATCGTCCCCCGGAGCCCACAGGTTCCAGGCTGGGCCCCCAGGGAGGGAGTGCCCAGTGGGAGGTTCTTAGGAAGTTGGGGCTGTGCCCTGGAGCCAGCTTTCAGAGGTTTGTTACAAACTCCAGAGTTTGTATACACCCCTCTCTGCCTCCTGGAAGGCCAAGTGATTCTTCCTCATCCCTATGGGCCCTCACCACATCCACTGCACTGTCTGACTTTGACCTCCAAAACGGTGAGCCAAAAGCAATCTCGTTTCTTTCTGTAAACTAGGGATGCCTCGAGCACTACATTGCAGTAATGAAGCATTGGCTAATGCAGCTGGTGGAGTAAACAGTGCACCTGCTGAGGGTGGAACACTGTGCACCAGAGAGAGGGGACAGACACTGTGCACCAGGAGAGATGGAGGGGACAGACCTTGTGCACCAGGACAGAGACAGAGGGGACAGACACTGTGCATCAGGACAGAGACAGAGGGGACAGACACTGTGCACCAGGACAGAGAGAGGGGACGGACACTGTGCACCAGGACAGAGAGAGGGGACGGGCACTGTGCACCAGGACAGAGACGGAGGGGACCGGCACTGTGCACCAGGACAGAGATGGAGGGGACAGACACTGTGCACCAGGACAGAGACAGAGGGGACAGACACTGTGCACCAGGACAGAGACAGAGGGGACGGACCCTGTGCACCAGGACAGAGATGGAGGGGACAGACACTGTGCACCAGGACAGAGAGAGGGGACGGGCACTGTGCACCAGGACAGACAGAGGGGATGGACACTGTGCACCAGGACAGAGAGAGGGGACGGGCACTGTGCACCAGGACAGAGACAGAGGCAATGGACACTCTGCACCAGGACAGAGAGAGGGGACGGACACTGTGCACCAGGACAGAGACAGAGGGGATGGGCACTGTGCACCAGGACAGACAGAGGGGACGGGCACTGTGCACCAGGAGAGATGGAGGGGACAGACACTGTGCACCAGGACAGAGAGAGGGGACGGACACTGTGCACCAGGACAGAGACGGAGGGGACGGGCACTGTGCACCAGGACAGAGACAGAGGGGACGGGCACTGTGCACCAGGACAGAGACAGAGGGGACGGGCACTGTGCACCAGGACAGAGAGAGGGGATGGACACTGTGCACCAGGACAGAGAGAGGGGACGGACACTGTGCACCAGGACAGAGAGAGGGACACTGTGCACCAGGACAGAGACGGAGGGGAAGGGCACTGTGCACCAGGACAGAGGTGGAGCAGGGGCTCCGCAATCCCCTGGCTGAGGGAGAAGCGCAGGGGTGCAGTGGCTCACTTTGTCTAAGAAATCCTCTGTGCTTGGATTTGCTGATGCTTCGTAACCTCTGGGTCCACAAACACAGAGGTAACACACTACCTGCAGGATGGATGGGGCAGGAGAGGACAGCGACTTCCCTGTACACATTTCATAGTTAATAACTTTTGTAACATGATTGTAGCACTCGTTTAAAATAAATCAAAGGTGTGTGTGTAGGGGGGTGCACATGGTGGTGGCAGGTGTGTGTGTGTGTGTGTGTGGTGCATGTATGTGTTGACAGCAGGGGTTTGTGGGGTGCACGTGGTAACAGGTGAGTGTGTGGTGCACGTGGTGGTGGCAGGGGTGTGTGTGTGTGTGTGTGTGTGGTGCACGTGGAGGTAGCAGCTGAGCAGAACAAACCGCTACAGATTTCGCTGGACCAGGCATTTTCAGCACTTGACTCTGCTCAGCTGCGCCCACTAAGCTGATCATATTGATACATTTTCAGGGTTCACACTGGACTTCTTTGAAGGTTTTTCTGAGTATAAAAACAGGGGTTGTCTTTATTTTAAAAAAAAGCAAATCAAAAAGTAAAACAAAATGACAATCACCTCTCCCCCTCCAGGGTTCCCAGTGTCCAGACTGCGGCGGGCGGGGGTGTCCGGGCCCATCCCTCTGTCTCGCAGCAGGACAGCTCTCTCCAGGAGCTGGCGGTGTGGGCGGGATCCGGTGTCCCTCCCCATTGGGAATGGGAGTGCAGGGAAGCCCACCGTTAGGGCCCTGCAGGAGCTGCTCGGTGAGGCTCAGGGAGGCAGCGGGGTGGTGCCCTCCCTCCGCCCTGCAGCCGGCCTAGGGGGTGCTGACTGCCGCTGCTGTGTGGCCGGGGGGCACCGGGTCAGGGAGACTTGCCACGCGCTGGGCGCTTCCCCGTCTGTCCCCTGCCAAGCCCACGAGGTGGGTGCTCTTTATTGCAGCCCATGTCATGGTGCAGACAGGCTGCCTCGACGTCAGTTCCCCAACGCCGCTCTGTGACCTCGGGCACAGTCCCCGGGTGTGGGTGCTGGGGCGGCGCCGGCCTAGGCGGAGCACTGTAGGTTGCAGGAGTCCGCGGACGAGAAGAACCCGAAGACGTTGACCAGCGGGAACATGAGCAGCGCTCCGAGCAGCGAGCCCAGCTGCACCGCCGCCCCGCACCACAAGAGGGCGCTGCGGCTGCGGTCGCGCAGGATCACGCCCAACATCACCTTGACGTAGCTGAGGCAGCCCGCGAAGAGCACCCACGAGACCACCTGCGGGACGGCGCGTGCGGAGTGCACGGTCAGGGGCAGCCACAGCGACGAAGAGGGCTCATGGGGTGACCCGCCGGGCGGAGGGGCGCCCAGGGCCTCCCGGCTCCGTGATCAGGAGCATGTCGTGGGAAGCGGGGGCACTGGGTGGGGGGTGGAGGGGGTGGGGGGGGTGGGGGGGGCTGCACTGTCCCCTCCCCTCCTCCGGGGGCTTCCTGAGATGGCGGCCACCAGGAGGGAGCTGTACCTGGGCACCCTGGGCTAAGGAAGGGGAGGGGGTTGGGAGGGAGGCAGCCTTGCGGGCCAGATACTCACAATGAGGACTTCCCCCGCCCAGTGGCCCTGCATGAGGGGGCAGGGGCTCATCACTGCCATGGCCATGTTGTAGGCCCCAAAGCCGGTGCCCAGCACTGCAAGGACCCCCAGGAACAGCAGAGACCTAGGGCAGAGTGGGGAGGGTAAGTGGGCGAGGTGGGAAGCTTGACCTCTGCGCCAGTCCACGCCAGGGCCATAGGGAGTGGCAAGGGTCAGAGGTTAGACCCATGCGGCTTGAGTGGGTCAGTGTGGCTCCCAGGGGCAGAGCTGGCCCGAATGCCCCTGAGGGTTGAAGGCAGAGCCCCACAGGCCAGGTTCACACCCCAGCTGCAGCGTTTAAGCTGGGAGACGGGTCTCTGAGCCCATCTCCTCACCTGGGGACCAACCAACTCTGAATGGCGTGGCCTCTGGTCCTGCTCCCCCACAAGTCCCCACCTTCCCTCCATGGCTTTCGAGCCCCAGGGGAGATCACCCAGCTTCCCGGCCAGCGGCATCTTCTGTGTATCTATCTCCCCTGGGCTGGGGAGGTGAGCCGGTCTGAGCAGCCAGAGAGGCAGGCCGGGCAGAGGGGGTGGACAGGGGCCACCCGCTCCTCCCCAGGGGCCGAGGCGGGGTGGCTGGCACTCAAGGTGGACCTGCCACACCCTGCACGCCCCTCTGAGCATGCTACAGGATCCCCTGGTCTTGTGCCGGCCCCCATGCTGGAGCAGAGCCGTTCCCACCCTCTGTCTCGCAGAGGCATCCCCAAGGCCCAGAGAAGGGAAGTGACTGCCCCCGCCACCGCACCGCACAGCTAGGGGTGGCAGGGCTGGGATTTGAACCCAGGCAGCAAAGTCCCTGCAGACTGTGATCTTAGCTGCTGCCCAGGTGGCCCAGGGCTGGACGGGGACTAACCTGTTAGGCAGGAACATGGAGAGGAAGCAGGCGAGTGGGTTGGCCATGGAGCTGAGCGTGGCAGACAGGTGGTAGGCGACAGTCCCGTAGCTCAGGCAGGAGTAGGTCTGCACGGCCGGCAGCACGCTGTTGGTGAGGGCGTTGACGAAGGCCACCAGCGCGTAGATGAAGCCCAGCTGAGCGGCCCATGGCGTGATGCACGGCTCCTCTCCGCGCCCTGGGCCTTTGCTGCTGTCCGCCAGGCCTGGCGGGCCCCGGCCCTTCTCGTCCCGCGGCCGGATGGAGTGCAGGGTCACCTCGGAGCTGAGGAGCTCCTCGATGGAGGTCTCGGGGCACCGGGGCCGGCGCTGCAGGAGCAAGAAGGCGACGAGGCAGCCGGCCATCATGAGGGCCAGCAGCAGGAAGAAGAGCAGGGGCGCGAAGCGGGCCGGGAGGTAGCGGCTTTGCAGGTGGCCCGGGGAGGCAGTGGGCAGGGCGGACGACAATGCAGAAGTGCTGTGGGCTCCCTGGGGGCAGGGGGAGGGAAAGGCAGGGTGAGGCACCACAGCCGCAACAGTGGCCACACAGGATGTGAACTGTGAATTAAGATGAACAGGCCAGGAAGGCCAGGAAGAAAGGGAACCTGGTGCGTGGCGCCCTAGGCCACGGCGGCTCATTCTGTGGTCTCATTTCCTTCTGTGTGCGGTATTTTCCCTCCAGTACTTTCAGACCACAGGGATCCATGGGACGGCCAGGTCAGGAGCTCACTGCCCAGGAACCAGGAGCCTCCTGCTTGGTCTCACGTGTCCTGCTGCCTCAGCACCACCACCCCCAATACGACTCCAGGTGGCCAGGATGGGCTGTGCCACCCCAAAATAGACCTCTGGCATATGGATCACTTGGAGCCGGTTATTTTGAGAAAGTGCAGAGTCAGGAGCAGCTCTGAAAAGCTGCCCTTTTGCAAGGGAAATTTATAAAGGAACTGCTCCTTATTCCACATACCTGCCCCAGGAGGAGAAAGGTGACATCTATCACTTGAGATGCTTGTTATCTGCACAGCAGGATAATGTTCACAGCTTCCCCCCTTCTCTCTCTTGTGGCCCCCCACCCTGCACGAGCCCTGGGCCCCTTCTGCAGCTCAGGGCGCTGTGTGTGCTTGGATCCTCTGGCCCTTCTTTGAGCCTCATGTTTCTGTGGGACTCTCATATGTGCACATGCAATTAACAGGGTTCCTCTAGGGGCGGGCATTTGGTGCAGTCGTTACGCCAGCCCTTGGGACACCCGTGTCCCATACTGGAGTCCCTGGGTTTGAGTCCCAATCACCGCTTCCTGGTGCGGCAGACCTGGGAGGCAGCAGCTTATGGTTCAAATGCTTGGGTCCCTGTCACCCATGTGGGATACTCAGATTGAGTTCTGGGCTCCTAGTTTCAGCATGGCCTAGCTTCCGCTGTTGCAGGCACTTGGGGAGTGAACCAGTGTATAGAAGATCGATCTCTCTCTCTCTCTCTCTCTCTTTCTCTCTCTCTCTCTGTCTTTCTGCATTTCAAATCAAATCAAATAGATAAATACAACTTTTTCAAATGGTGTTTCTGTAGCTGCTCTGCCCTATGATGATTCAATGCCTAGGTCAGCCACAGAACATTCTAGAAGGGTAGAGGGGAGCCCAGGTATCCTTTGCCACACATGTCACCAGGCATGGGGCACTGCAATGGCCCTGGGCAATGCTGGGTACCTGTGTGATGCTGCTGTTCCCGGCAGTCACAGGGCTTGAGGTGCCTGGGCCTGGTGTGTCCGTGACATTGACGCAGACGGTGAGACCTGAGCCCTGGGCGAGCGCCACCAGTGCAGGCAGGAGGCCGCTGAGCCCTTCGCCCACGAAGAAGGTGGTGAGGTAGGAGGCGGGCAGCCGGCTCATGAAGGGCAGGAAGGTGACGGAGGAGGTGCAGTCCACCAGGGCCAGACAGAAGGTGAGGACCATGAAGGCGACGCTGTGCCGGCCGCCCTGCACCCAGGAGGTCACGTTCCAGAGGAAGGCCATGAGGACGCAGGTGACAGTGCCCAGCCCCAGCACGGCCAAGATGACGGGCACCTCGGAGAGGCAGCCGGGCCGGAAGCGGTGCAGCAGGGTGACGAGGAGGGGGCCGATGTTGGCCAGCTGGATGATCACCGTGAGGTAGGAGGGCAGGTTCCAGGCCTCGGGCAGCTCCGTCACCAGCAGGGGGAGCTCTACCCAGAGCCCGTTGATGGCCACCCAGGAGCCCATCCCGAAGGTGCAGACCAGCAGGTGTACGAGGAAGGCCATGGTGGGAGCTCGCCCTGGGCCAGGGGCTGCTGGCGCTTCACCTCAGCCTGCAGTGAGGCTGACAGAGAAGGTCCCCGGTGAGCAGTCTCAGGTTCCTGGCCTAGCAAGCCACGGTGCCTTGGGGCGCTGGGACTTCCCTTATCATTTCCCTTCCTGTGAACACACGGATCTGTTATCAGTTCCTTTATAATTAACCTTTGAGTAGGGAAGGTTTTCCTAACCATGACTCATAAATTCAGGGGCCACAATGGGACAGTCTGACACGGGGACAGTGTTGTGGTGCAGTGGGTTGGGCCACTTCTTGGGACACCGGCAACCCATGTTAGAGTGCCTGGCTCCAGCGCTGGCTACGCCCTTCTGTTTCCGATCCAGCTTCCTGAATTACAGTGCATCCGGGAGGCACTGCCACCCACACGGGAGACCCGAATGGAGTTCCTGGCTCCTGACTTCAGCCTGTCCTAGCTTGGACTGTCATGGGCATTTGCAGAGTAAACCATCAGATGAAAGATCTCTCTCTCTCTCTCTCTATTACTCTGTCTTTCAAATAAATAGATAGACAGATAAATCTTTTTTAAAAGTGTGATACATTCAACTGCATAGCTGTTGAAGCACACAAAAGCAAACAAAACACCTTTAACCAACAGCAAGGTCAAAGACAAAGGACAAATCAAGGGAAATATTTACAACACAAATCACAGCCAAAGGGCTCACTTCCTAATTCGCAGTCTTTAGAAGAAAGAACAAAAAGACCCAACAAAGAATGAGCCACAGAGGCCAGCATTGTGGCTCCATGGGTCAGGCCGCAGGGTGGATTGCCGACCTCACATCGGAGAAGCCTCTCTGCCTCCCAGCCAGCTCCCTGCTAATGTGCCGGGGAAGACGGCCCAAAGGCTTGGGTCCCTGCACCCACAGAGAGACCCGATGGTGTTCTGGGCTCCCGGCTTCCACCTGGCCCAGCTCCAGCCAGTGTGGCCATCTAGGGAGTGAGCCAGAAGATGGAAAAACCTTTCTTTGTCTGTCTCTTCCTCTCTCTGTCACTCTCCCTTTCAAATAAGTAGCCTTAAAAAAAAGAAAAAGTGAGCCATGGACATGAACAGTTCCGAGGACAAAGCCCAGAGAAGCCCTAACCTATGAAGAGGTTATCGCCTTCATTCCCAATGGTTAAAGGGCTGCCCGGTGCCCCTTCTCACCCCCACGAGGGTGTCCTCAGTCCAGGGCCACCTGCCGTGGGTAACACCACTCAAGCATAAGATCATTCTTCATTGTGGCCGTGGTGGTGACCATGAAACATGGGAAACTGCCTGGTGGCCGTCAGCGGTGGAGGGGGTCGGGAAAGGGGTCCCTTCCTGCTGGACTACCCCTGACGCACAGGACCAAGGAACGCCCGGGAGCCCGCGAACATCTTCCCGCTGATGGGGAAATCTCTCGGGCTGTGCCGGGAGGTGGGCAGCGCCAGGGCGGCTGAGAGTGTGGCCTCCTTGCCCGTATTTACATAAAGCAGCCCTCACAGCTCGCCACCAACTGCTGTGTCTTGGCAGCACGTGGTTTTCAGCCGTGAGCCGTGGGAACACACTGCCCGGGACGGAAGTGCGGTTCCCTGCAACCAACCTCAGGCTGGCGCTCTTGCTCCTGAAATGCTAGAGCCCTTGGAGCCCACCCTGCAGCCCCTGTCCATTTGCTGCCGTCCCGGTGGCCGGTGTCACCCACCCACCTGTGACTCTCCTCCCCCTACCTGTAGTAGGAGCAAAACTCCGAGAGCGGCCAGGAGGGAGGCTCCGCAGCTCGGCCCCTGGGCTGGACCCCGGCTCTGCCACGGTGCAGCTGGGTGCCCTGGGACAGGTGACTTTGCTTCTCCGTACTTCATTTCCCTCACTTGGAAACTGAGGATGAGGATTGTACGGGCTTCTGGTTTTGAACGAGATGTAAGTCTGTGGCGTAGCAGGTAAAGCTATTGCCTGTGACACCAGCATCTCATACGGGCGCCGGTGAGAGTCCCGGCTGCCTAGGAAAGCAGCACGTGCGCCCCTGCCCCAGCGTGTGAGACCTGGAAGAAGCTCCTGGCTCCTGGCTTCAGCTGGGCCCAGCTCCAGCCACTGCAGCCATTTGGGGAGTGAGCCAGCAGGTGGGAGATCTCGCTGTTTCTCCCTCTTCCTCTGTAACTCTTTCAATAAATAAAATGAATCTAAACAAGCAAACAAACTACGAGGGTTCTAAGGTTGCACACAGGAAGCGCTCCCCGAGGGCTGGCTGTTATCCTAAGAGGACAGGTTTGAACTCAGTCACTATCTTCCAGTGTGTCTGACTACAGTTAAAAAAGGGCAGCAGTTGCCTGGGAGGGTACCCAGTGGGATCCCGAGTGACACCTGCGCCATTTCAGAGACAAGGCCAGCTGGGCTGGTCACCTCCTCCTCTGGAGGAGGACAGCCCCCGCCCCGGGGGTGGGGATGGAGGGGTCTCCCTAGGTGAGAGGGGGGACCAGAGCAGGCTCCTGCAGTCCCTGGACCGCCCAGGCGAGGCCACCTCTGTCTCTAACTCCATTCCTCCGTCCAGCACATTCGAACCCCCACCTCCCAGCCCACTCCTGACCCCTTGGCCATCCCTCAGCGCGGGTCCCACCTGTAGAGCGAGCGGCTGCAGCCCTGCCTCCACCTGCGCTCCGCCGCGTCCCTTCTCGGGCCTTCCACGGGGTCACGGGAACTCCGTCCTGTCCCTCAGCAGCAGCTGGGGCTGACCGGGCAGGCGAGGCCTGGCTCTGCGCCTGCGCGGAGGACCCTGGGGAGAGAGGGGAGCCCCATGAAACAGCCACTCCCCCTCCCCCAGCTTTGCCGGTGCTGTCCGCTTCACTGGGCGCGCAGCCTGGGTGTCCTAGCATGGGCCACACGCTCCCTTCTCTTGAGTGGGTGGAGATGAAGCTCGCGCGGGCAGGGCCTGGCCTGGCAGGCAGCGGCCTTCATTGAGCCGGGCGTTTGTAAATCGGTAACTCTCCGGCCAGGCCAGGCGGCTCACACGCTGTTTTAGTTTGCTTAGTGTTTTAAACAATTAGTTATGGCCGCCATTGTGGTGCAGTGGGTGGGGCCTTTGCTTGCAATGCCAGCATCCCATATGGGAGTGCTGGTTCGAGTCCCGGCTGCTCTGCTTCTGATCCAGCTCCCTGCTATCGTGCCTGGGAAAAGCAGCTGAAGATGGTCCAAGTGCATGGGTCCACATGGGAGACTCTGATGGAACTCCTGGCTTCTGGTGTTGGCTTGGCCCCACCCTGGCTGTTGTGATGCGCTGCCTTTCAAGTGAATGAATGAATGAAGAAATAATTCAATATTAAAATCTGCAGGTTGAGAGCTGACATACAAATTCAAGGCTTCTGAGGAACATTTTGGAAGCCCTGCCACACAGACCTGCATGTCTACACCCTCTTTAACTCCGCCCCCACTCTGGCTGCACCCCTGAGCAAGCCTGTGTACCTCTACTGTTCTCCTACCCTGCTGTCTGGAACTGAGATGAGATGCCGAGAACTCCAGCAGCCATTTTTTACTATGAGAGGGGTGGGGGACTGGCAGGAGACCGGACCTCTGGGTATTTTGTAGCTTGCCCTGAACTATTTTGCTCGTTTCTTTCATGTTGCTGTTTAGGTTGCAAATAAGCCTCTGTCTTTATATATACATATATATATATATTTATAAATATATATATATTTAAAAGGCAGAGTTACAGCGAGAGAGGGAGGGATCTTCCATATGCTGTTTCACTCTCCAGATGACTGCAATGGCCAGGGCTGGGCCAGGCTGAAGCCAGGAGCCTGGAACTCCATCCAGGTCTCCCACATGGGTGCAAGGGCCCAATTGGCACATTAGATGGGAGCTGGATTGGAAGTAGGCCAGGGCCCAAACCTGCACTCATGGGATGGCAGCACTGCAGGCTGTGACATAACTCACTGGGCTACAGCACCTGTCTCGTCCCCCACAGTTAAATGAACAACAGCGGAGCATCGGCTGAGTGTGCAGGGGACACCTGTTCCAGGATGCGCCCGATCGAGCAGTAACTGAAGCCTAGTGAATACATTCGCCTGCTCCCCTTCCCATGCCCTTCTTGGAAACTCAGTCTTGTTCCAAACAGGAGTTGATTAAAACTAACATCTAACCCAGGTTGCTGTGTAAACTCCGGAAGACACTCAAAGGTTACAAGCAACCTGAGGGCAAAGTCTTCCGGGGAAAGGCAGAAAAAGGAAGAGCGAGAAAGAGGACGGAGGGAGGGACAAAAGGGCTCTCCAGGTGGAGTTTGGAGCTGAAAGGATACAGTGAGACTCCATACAGCCCCGGGGGTGGGAGGAGTAGGGGCAGCATGGGGCGTGCAGGGCGCAGGCGCAGCAGCAACAGGTGTAAAATACACAGGGTAGAGGGGAGCGGGGAGCCTCGTGCCTAGAGAAGGGGCCGAGGAATGCTTAAGGGAGGAGACGGTCGGTCGCCCTTGTCATGGGAAAGCCTGTTATTAAATTCACGAGCACGGTCGGCGTGGCATCCAGTTCCACACCGACAAGCCCCCCTAGCTTTCCTGCAGAGGCTGGCTGGGGCTGGGGCGTCTGTGTTGCCCCCGTGTACAGTGGCTCCCAGGCACTGGAGCCCCAAACACCCATTCCCCTCCGAGCCGAGGTCTCTGGGTTCTGACCCGGGCACCACCACAACTGTGCAAATTGAAAGAAATGATTTACATGGATGAGCGCCGCCTGGCCCCTCGTGCCCTGCCTGGCTCACTTCCGAGTTACTTCCTCCTCTTCAAAAGTGCCTGCAGCCCTGGGCCTGGGGGACGCACTGAGGAGCAGCCCTCGGTGACACTGAAGAGAGGGGCCCTGGGCAGAGGCCTGGCTGATTCCAGGAGCCCGTGCTTTATAGGTGGGAATGCCCGGGAAAGACGCCCCCCCACAAGGCTCTGTCATTTCTATTCCTGGGACTTTGCAACTCCCGCTCACCGTGTCACCGCTGTGTGGTGGGCACTTACTATGTGTGGCCCGCACTGCCTGCCTTGGGCATCTGCAGGAAGCAGTCACTAGCAAAATTAAAGAAATGGCAAAGAAGGAAGGAAGTAGGGGCGTGGCCTGTGTCTGGGGAAAGAGGGATTGGGGGAGGGAGCTGGGAGTGGGGAGGGGGGCTAAGAGGCAGCTGGGGAAGGCGCTCGCAGCAAGGAGCCGGGTGCTTGTAGCATGGTCCCCACAAAGGCCCTGTACCACGACACCTGCCTTCCGCCCATCAGAAAAAAGTCATCGCCCCAAGGACATAGCAAGCTGGATCCCCCTGGAATGCAGCGGGGCCCATAAACAGCTGAGGAGCCAGGCTCTGGTGCCAGACCGGATTCACCGCAACGCGGCTTCACAAGAAGACATTGCTTAACTGGTCAGGTCAGCCACGTTTCTCAGCTGCTTCCCAAGGGAACTTCCATCTACTGATCTGCAGGCAGACCCCGGCCCTAGAACCCAGGTAGAGACCCGGGTGATTGACAGGCGCTCCCTCCGTAAGCTCCCGCCCCCTGCTCTCCCTGGAGCCCTCTTGGGGGACTTTATGTCTCCATAAAATCAGCTTCCGCTTGGCTCACCGACCCTCGTGGTCCATGTTGTCGCTCCGAGCTGCCATGAGACAAAACCCACCGGAAATTCCTGCCACGCTGGGGTGGGGCCTCGCCTGTCTGGTCCCTGTCTGGTCCCAGAGAGAGATCTACTTGTTGGCAGGGACAGCAGGAGGCCGGCGTGGCTGCAGCCGCGGGGGGGGGGGGGGGGGGGGGGGGCTGCGGGTGACAGCTTGGGTGTTTGCTCTACAGAGCAGCTCTCATTTAATTTTTAACATGCTGCCTGTCAAGAGGAAGCTCCCGGGAGCCAGGGAGGAAGCAGGAGGGAGGCCTGTCTCTGCTTAGGAAGCTGTTGCAAACACCCTGGGGAAAAGGAGGGGACCACAGCAACAATAACATTGCAGCCATCGTGTCCCTGCTGCGGGCGGGCCTGGAGCTAAACTTCACCCACCTGATCCCTCCGAAGTCACAATGGCAGTATGACCACGTCCATTTTACAGATGGGGAAACTGAGGCTCAGACAGGGAACGTGGTTCACCTGGGGCCGTGCAGCTGAGAGCTGAGATTGGAGCCTGAGCTTGCCTGACTGTGGGCCCGGCCCTCCTACTCAGTCTCAGAGAGGCCTCAGGGTGCTGGGTGCAGGAGAGGCTGTGGGAGAAAGCCCAGGAGACGTAAGAAAGACTCCAAGCCCAGACTTGACCCTTGCTGCCATTTGGGGAGTGAAGCAGCAGTTGAAAGATTCTTTCTCTCTCTCTCTCATCCTGCCTCTCAAATACATAAATAAATCTTTAAATAAATAAGTAAAGTCTCCAAGGCACCTGCTCCCCAGCCATCTGTGGTTATGGGAGACCCAGAACCAACCCCAGAGGGGGCTGGCTGTGATGGGCGGGGCAGGCGGGGCAGGGGGAGCCAGCTTGGCCGTGCCTTCCGCATTCTTGCATCAAAAGTCAGCCCTGGCCCAGAAAGAGCCTCAGGGACTGGGAGCAGGGCTCTGCTGTGGGCGTGGGCTGCACCGTCTCCTCCCCACCCCTGCCTTGCCTTGACCATTGGCATTCTAGCAGGTTCCACACCCCGCCCTCCCCGCTTCACAGCTGCACCGTATCATCAACACCAGTTCAGTTACAGGAGCTTATCTGTCTATCAGCTGAGTGAAATCCCCGGTGCGCAGGGCCCTGTCCTCTCCCCCACTGCCCAGGTGGCCATCTGGCTTGCCAAGGGCTGGGCCACCCGACCCCCGAGCTCCATGGCTGGCTTTTCATTCTGCAGGGATAAGCCGGCAGCTGGCAGGCGCCAAACACGTGGGCCAGGCTGCAGGGAGCCTGCTCAGCCACGTGGGATGCGTCAGCCAGGTTGGTCCCTGGACACTGCTAGCTGCAGCCTGAAGCCAGACACATCCTGCTTTGTGTCCCTTTGCCCTGTGTCCCAGGCTCCTGGAGACCCCGGCGAGTCCCCCAGGCTAAGGACTGGCTGGGGTGGGTGGGCTTTGGCTGAGCCAGGAGGCAGGAGGTGCCAAACAAGGAAAGTGGAAGGGGAGACGGGGAGGCAGAGACAGAGCTAGAAACAGAAATGGGCAGAAGGGAAGACAGAGGGACGGAGACAAAGACAATGGGGCCGCGAAGTGCTTGCATCCACTTGCACAAGGGGTCTCCCAGCCCTCCCGCCTTGGACCTCAGGGTCCCCCGGAGAAGTCACCCCAACTCAACGGCCCCTGGCACAGATGTGGGGAAGCCAGGCGTGGAGCAGAAGTGATGCCGCAGCTCCCTGCCCACCCCACTGTCGGGTGGCGGTGGCGCCATCCACACCTGTGCCCACCCGCTGCGTGACCTCAGCCCAGCTGCTCAGCCTCTCTGGGCCTTGAGTTCTCCAACTGCCAATGGTCTGGGACTTCCTGGGCGTGGGAGGAGGAGATAACGGGAGCTCAGGCCGGCCTGCCAGGACAGTGAGTTCTCATCCCCCACCCCTCCCTCCCAGGGCCAAGGAGGGGCTTCCCCTCCCACAGGACTGACCTTGATGGAGCAGCCTCCCCCAGGCCACTCCCCTCGCCTCCAGATCATCCCAACCCTAGTGCCAGGCTGGGAAGGCTCCAGCCCCAACCTGCCAGGGGTGGCTGCCCAGGGATCCCGTGGCGCGCAGATGCAGCCGGGCAGAGTTCGGCGGGGGCCAGAGAGCCGGCTCAGCCCGTCCCGCAGGCCAGGTGCCCAGGGAGCCTTTCTTACCTGTCCCTCTGTCCTCTGCTGACCCAGCAAAACTCGGGGAAAGTCCACGGGCTACTTGCTGTCCCAGACAGGTGCCCCACCTCGGTGCCCTATGCTCCCAGCTGGCAGCCAGCACCTGGTGGCTGCAGCTGCGCCCTCACAGGCCCGGGCCGCCCCGCTCTGCCCACTTACCTGCTGGTCCTGTTCCCCAGCCGCTCTGCATGGGAGGGGCCAAGGCGGCTGGGTTAGTAGCGAGCTGTCCCCGCCCCGAGGAGGGGAGCGGCAGGCGGAGCCTACTGTGTGCTCCGTGGGAGAGGGAGTCACCTGATCTGCTGCTTTCTGCTTGCTGAAGATGGACCCCCCAGGTGGCAAGGAGCTGCCAGGCCTCTGGCTCCGGCCCTGTCTCCATTCCTGTCACAGGCTGGGCGCTCCAGCAGCTCCAGCAGTTTGGAGTCTTCGTTTTTTGTTTTTGTTTTAAAGAATTTATTTGTTTATTTATTTAAAAGTTGGGTTACACAAAGAGAGGAGAGGGAGAGGGAGAGGGAGAGAGAAAGAGGTCTTCCATCAGATGGTTCACTCTCCAAGTGGCTGCAACAGCCGGAGCTGTGCTGATCCGAAGCCAGGAGCCAGGAGCTTCTTCTGGGTCTCCCACACGGGTGCAGGGGCCCAAGGACTTGGGCCATCTTCTAATGCTTTCCCAAGCCATAGCAGAGAGCTGGATCAGAAGTGGAGCAGCCGGGACTCGAACCGGCGCCCATATGGGATGCAGGTGGCAGCTTTACCCACTATGCCACAGCGCCGGCCCCAGTTGTGGCTCACTTCTGTTTCAAGTCTCCCAGAGCACCTGATGGCATCGGAAGCTGTCAATGCAGTTTTCGGTCCCTTCCAGGGAGAAATGCAGTCCCTCTCCCAGGGCGGCTCCAGACCCTGCTGCAGGAGCAGGGTCAGCTGCATTTGAAAAATTTACTTATTTTCATTTTATTTGAAAAGGAGAGAGACCTAGATCTTCTGTCTACTGGCTCACTCCTCAAATGCCCCTGGCAGCAGGGGCTGGGCCGGGTTGAAGCCAGGGACTCGAACTCAATCGGGGTCTCCCACGTGGGTGGCAGGGACTCAGGAGTTTCAGCCGTGACCTGCGGCCCCCCAGAGTGTGCATCAGCAGGAAGCGGATTTGCAGCAGAGCCCAGATTCTGACCCAGGTACCCTCATGGGGGATGCGGGCATCCCAAGTGGTGTCTGAACCGCCGCATCAAAAACACCCACGCCCTGCGTTCCACGTGAGCACTCAGACCGGCAGCCCTGGGAGCTCGAGTCTCCTCACTGTGACGTGAGACCTACGCCGGCTCGTGCTGCTGAACGGAGGCCGTGCGAACTTGCACCTACCCCACCGTGCAATGTCCCCTCTTGCACAGTCATTTCCTCCTAAAATACAGTCAGCCATTCCCTTGCTCGGGCTTTGGATGAGCTGTTCTTATTTGCTGCAAATATATCGCTTTGCACGGCCACTCCTAGAGTTTCTTTTTGCTGTTTGTTTGTTAAAGATTTATTTGTATTTATTTGAAAGGCACAGTTACAGAGAGAGAGAGAGAGAGAGAGAGAGAGAGAGAGAGAGAAATTTTCCAACTGCTGGTTCACTACCCAGATGGCTGTAATGGCTGGGCTGATACCAAGCCAGGAGCCAGAAGCTTCTGGGTCTCCCATGCGGGTGCAGGGGCCCAAGCACTTGGGCCACCTTTACTGCCTTCCCAGGCACATCAGCAGGGAGCTGGACCAGAAGTGGAGCAGCTGGGACTCGAACTGGTGCCCAAATGGGATGCTAACAACACTGCAGACAGTACCAGTATCCACTATGCCTCAGCGCCGGCCCCATCTGTGTGTCTTAACTGGGCCCGCCAGTGGGCCATGGTTTTGTTGGGTCCCAATAGGAACAGGGTCCCTGTAGCAGAAACAGACCAAACAATGGCGTTCAAGCCAGACTCCTGCACAGTGGGGGTAAAGACAACCCCCTCGCCTCCAGGCCAGCGTGTGCTGAGCCTGGCATGTTCTTGGGGCTTGCCACGATGTAACACACTGATCTCCATCACAGCCTTTGGGGAGATGTTAGTGCCATTTTACAGATGAGAGAATTGAGGACCAGAGAGGTCGAGAGACTTGTGAACTGGCGTCTGCCGCTCTTGGAGCTGCTTGACAAGGAGTTATCAAGAGCTGGTTAAGTCCCCACGGTGCTGTGAGGCATGGGCTATGTTTTTTTTTTAGGTTTATTTATTCACCTGAAAGAGCCAGAGAGAGAGAGAGAGAGAGAGAGAGAGAGAGAGGTCTTTCACCCGCTGGTTCACTCCCCAAATGGCCAGAATGGCCAGAGCTGGGCTGGGCTGAAGCCAGGAGCTTCTTCCTGGTCTCCCACGTGAGCACAGGGGCCCGAGCACTTGGGCCATCTGCCACTGCCTTCCCAGGAGCATTGGCAGGGAGCTGGATCGGAAATGGAGCAGCTGGGACTCAGACCGGCGGCGCCGTACGGGATGCGAGCGCTGCAGGGGGTACTTTTACTCCCTGTTTCACAGATGCGGAAACTCGCGCTCAGAGAGGTTAAGCAACTTGCTCGAGGTGCTGGAGCCAGCTAGTGCGGGGCTAGATTCCATTCCTGACCCACACGGGGGCCCATGCAGTGTAAAACGCCTCTCCCAGGCCCTGGCCTTGGGAAACGCTGGCCGTGCGTTGGCTTCGGGGACTCACTCTCGGCTGCTTTTCGTGTTATTTTCCCAGACTTCAGTTTGCTCAGGGAGCTCCCCTCTCCAGGCAGAGAGACACGAGACCCGGGGGACGGAGCCCAGGACCCTCACTCCAGCAGGGGCTCAGGAAGCGCTGGTACTGTTGGGGCTCAGGACACACGGCCCTGTGTGATAGTAGGAGGCCGGAATATGCCACCCCAAACAGACCCTTGGGTGTGTTTTGTGCTGGGTAATCCTAGACACTGCAGACTTAGCTCTGCAAAGCCGTCTTCGTGTAAAAGAAATTTCCACCTCTAAAGGACACGTACATTAACCAAGGATCCGCGTGGCCAGGGGCTGCTCCAGCCCGCTGTTCTGACCCCAAGACTCTCACCTGTGTAACAGAACCACTCTATTTACCACACCTGAAGCCGTGTGGCCACACCCCCACACCCCAGAAGCCCCACGTGCCTATTCCTTTATTTTATTTTATTTTTTTAAGATTTATTTGAAAGTCAGAGTTTTGGAGAGAGAGGGAGAGACAGAAAGAGAGCGAGCTTCCATCCATTGGATCACTCCCCCAAATGGCTGCAACAGCTGGAGCTGGGCCAGGCCGAAGCCAGGAGCTTCACCCAGGTCTCCCATGTGGGTGCAGGGGCCCACGCGCTTGGGCCATCTTCTGTTGCTTTCCCAGGTGCGTTAGCAGGGAGCTGGATCGGAAGCAGCTGGGACACGGACCGGCGCCCATGTGGGATGCCGCTCTAGCGGGCGACAGCTTTACCTGCTACGCCACAGCATCTCCCCTGTTCCTTTCTGTAGCTCAGGTGCCGTGCAAGCCCCCGCACCTGACGGTTCTTCAGGTCTCGTGTTCCGTGGGACTCCCATGCATCTGCATGTAAGGAAAACGCTTTTTCTCCTGTGAGTCTGTCTTCCGTCCATTCAGGCTGTAGCGCAGCCAGAGGAGTGACGGGGCGGACGGGAGCCATTTCTCCTCCCTCCCAGTACCAAAGACTTCAGGCTGCAGGGACAAAAGGCTCTGCCCTCGGGGAGCTCCTCGGCCCCCAGGACTGTCTCAGCCCTCAGCCCTGCCTCCCCGCGGTGCCCCTACTCCCCTGTGACAGGAAGTGCCCCTTAGACCTGACCCCGCCCCTGCCGCTGTGGCCTCGCCTCTGGCCTTCTTCTCACAAGATGCCTCTTAAGTTGTTTTTAAATTTTTATGTATTTGAAAAGTGTTTTTGTTTTGTTTGTTTGTTTGTTTAGAGAGAAAGAGAGAGACAGAGATCTTCCACCTGCTGTTTCACTCCCACAACAGCCACAACAGCCAGGACTGGGCCAGGCCGAAGCCAGGAGCTCAGAACTCAATGCAGGGTGGCAAGGACCCAGCTACTGCAGCCAACACTGCTGCCTCCCTGGGTACTCATTGGCCGGAAACTGGATGGGAAGTGGCGGGCCAGGGCTCCCCTGGGTGCATCCCCGCGGGGCCCAGTGCCTGCCCCAGGCTGTTTTCATCTTCAGTTTAAAAGCACTCCCTGTCTCAGCCTTCAAAACTCATTGCAGTAAGCCCCTTCTCACCTGGGACCAGGACACCTGGTGGCTTTATCACTGGCCCTGTCTCACCTGTCGCCGGTGCCCTCACCATCAGAACAGCTGGCCATTCTCTAAGTACTCCCAATGCATCTGGGCCCTTGGATTTCCGTACTGACCTTTCGCTAGTCTGACCTGTGGAGGGTCACCCCAGGACACTGGAGAAGTCGCAAGGCTAAAGACAGGGCAGGCTCCCCAGCTGTGCCTGAAAATGCAAACCAACACCTGTTGGATCATGGGAGAAACACTCACCGTAACTGAGGAGACACTGCAGTCACAAGTATATCTCCCAGCTTGCGCCCTCCACTCTGCGTTGCAGCAGGAACGCTCTGGCTGTCCTGGCTGCTGCTCCCTTGCAGCTGCGGCAGCAGAAGCCGGCGTCCAGCTGCCCTGCCTGCCAGGCTGCTCCCTGCAGGTGTTCAAGAACCAGCTCTGCTCACTCTCACTGTTCCAGTGAATTCTTTAGATCTCCATCAGATACAACTGCAGACAGTGGGAGTATAAGAAACGTTTATGGTGCACACGAGTGATCGTATGGCAGAGAGGTCTTCCATCCACTGGTTCACTCCCCAAACAGCCGCTGCAGCCAGGAGCCTGGAACTTCATCCGAGTCTCTCACATAGGTGCAGGGGCCCAAGCACTTGGACCATCTTCCACTGCCTTCCCAGGAGCATTAGCAGGGAGCTGGACTGGAAGTGGAGTAGCTGGGACTCGAACTGGTACCCATATGAGATGCCGGCACAGCAGGCAGAGGCTTTACCCGCTGTGCCACAGTGTTGGCCCCTAACCTTTGTTGTTTAGTTAGTAGACTTCTTTTTAAAGATTTTATTCTTGGAGCCAGCATCGAGGGACAGTGGGTTAAGCACAGCCGCAGTGCCAGCATCCCATAC